GCGGAAATGAGGATGCTTGGCGTGCAGCAAGCAGGCGCTCAGCCTGTGAGAAACCTGCCTTTCCAACTTGAAGCAGAACCTGAAAACCCTGCTGGCTGGCGCAACGCCCTCGAGGATTTCCTGTTCCAACAGAGCCGACTGTCTTGGACTGCCAGGAACACAGCTTGACGCACTTGTCATTTCGATCATGGTGTCCCGTGTGCGTTCAGGCCAAATCCCGGCAACACCAGTCGCGGACTTTGTCCTTGAAACAGCCAGTAAACTTCCGACCCCATCGCTTTTCACATGGTGTGCGGCTGCCACTTTTGACCAAGTAGCGGTTCAACAGCCATTGAGCATGCTTCATGAGCCAAGTATACACGGGGTACCCTGACTTCAAATCAAGCTTGAGAGCGCAAGCCTGAGCACACAAAGTGGCCTGCGCATTCCTGATAAAGCCTTGGGCCTGCTTCCATCCTGTGCTGTGGGTGAAGCGCGCGTGGTCAAGCCATCAAGCTCAGAAGTCGCTGTCTCAGCAAGTGCCTTGAGCGCTGGGTCGCACTGGAGCGCTCCAAAAGTGCGTCCAATCTCAGGGATGAAACGCCGAAGTTCAGCCTGAGTGCAAGTGCTACGACCCTTTTCAGGATTACCGCGGCAAGTCCTAATCCAGACAACGCATCAAGCGCGTTAAGCAAAGTGATCTGCGGGCTCCGGCCTGGTCCGACAAGAACAAGAAGTCAAGTTGGACCACTTCAGCCATTTGCAGCTTCGGAGAGACGTGCGCTTTTCGGAAGCCTGGGCTTGCAAAGTCACAGCCCCAACTTTGCAAGGGCATATGGCTAGGCATGTGCACGGAGAGCGGAATGCGCTTCTGCGCTGACGGCTCCGGCGTGTTTAAGAGACGCACGGCGAGGCGACTTTCGCCTTCGTTTCAGGTTGACGTGGAAATTCTGAAAGGCGTTCGTGCGAGACCTTGGGGCCCGAGTGGTATTTCGGTTGAGGCAGATCGCTTTGTACTTCCTCTTCAGCCAGAGCAACCTCCAGGACTTTCGTCCGAGGGGGTTGAACGTTTCTCAGCCCGCTTCGCCGACTTGGCGCAAGACGACGCTCCTGGATCCGAACGAACTTCAAACTGAATGTGTTGATGACTCTGGAGACTTGACTGCAGAAGCAGCGTTATCTGGAGTACGGCGACCGCTTGAATCCGGACGTGGGGATTTTTGGATCTCCTCGACCTCTGCGTCGGAGACTTGATCCTGATTCTCCGTCGGAGCGCAAGCGTACTTCAGCCAAAGAAGAAGACACCGAACAGGTAGATGCTAGCGAGTTTTTTGGGCAAGGCCTTGCGCCCAATTTGTTCCGAAGCTCTGTTCTGTGGATAGCAGCGATCCCAGACGGATTGAGGTTGATCATTCCTTGCAGACGGTTTTGGCATTCACTATGGTTGTTGGGAGGCTGGGTTTGCGCGTTTGGGTGCCTGTATTGTTGACAGCCTCTCCGGCAAAAGGGTAGTCTTGTCTGGATGTGCTCCTACTCGCCTTTTGACTTGGTGGAGGAAGGAGGTTGGCAACCAGCTCATTTGTGAGATCGAACTGCTTTCCGCAGTTGCAACTTGTTGGATGTTTCAGAGCCGTTTTATGAACAGAAGAGTGCTGCGCCGGGTCGACAACAGCGCGGCTAGGCACTCGCTGACTAAAGGCACAAGCCCAAGCCGCTCAATGCAATTGATGGTTTCTGCCTTCTACCGCCTAAGGCTGAGGCGCACACCTGGGTTGAGCGAGTGCCTTCAGCTGCAAACCCTGCCGACGCCCGAGGAGCCGTGTGCTCTGCTTGGCGCGCGCCGTGGAGTTTGTTTTCCCGGAACAGATGTTGGACATGACTTCACCGCAAGGCAGCTGGTCGTGAAAAGGGGGTGAGTTGCGGACCAGCCCCCTTGCTGGAAATGGCCGAAAGCTCACTTGCTGTGTGTTCCAGACTTAACATACAGACTGCTGACCGGCCAGAATGCGTTAGATTTGCTGCCCGCTTTTGCGCCTGCTTTCGCACGTAAGTAGTTGAGTCCACTTGCGGACGTTTTACACATCTTTGATGATCGCCGACCCTTGTCGATGTTTGGGTTCTTTGTCCTTCTGGGATTTGGCTCAAGGTGGAGAAGGGATTCTCTGCTTGCAGATTATACTTTCTCTCGGCGTAGCCAAGCAGGCTTTCTTTACCCGTCCCAATAAGGAACTGATCTGTTGATTCATAATTGGATCTTTTGGATCCCCCCCTTGTTTTCGTACGGGTAGTCCTACTTATTGCTGAGCTGCGCATTTTTGGTCTCCACTTTTTTTATCACCGAAATTTTTGGTTCCGCCCAACCCTCCCTGACAAGCGTGACCAAAGGGGTGAGTTGCGGACCAGTCCCCTTGCTGGAAGCGGTTGCAGATGTAACACACAGGCTTTCCCTGTTTGCAAACAATGTGTTGTCAGAGGGGGGCCGTGGGTCCCCCAATTCCAGGTTGCGTGCTGGCTAAACGGGCGAGCGTGACGATTGAGCAGCCCTTAGCTTGGAACAATCTTCACTGACAGGATCCCTGTGTTTTGCAGCACTGGTCTTGACGCACAATGCGCAACACCCTGGTTAGGCCGCTGCACTCAGTTTTTGAACCTCGACCACGCGAATCTCCGCAGAGGGTCGCAATCCCGAGCGATGATCAAACTCCCGCCCCGGCGCCTTAGAAACCTAAACTAACTTACATAGCTGCTTACGCCGAAGCTCTACGCAAGCTCTACCTAACCTTGGCTCTGTGCCACCTGGCTCTGTGTCACTTGGCTCTGTGCCACTTGGCTCTATGTAACTTGGCTCTATGTAACTCTCTATGTAACTTGGCTCTATGTAACTTGGCTCTATGTAACTTGGCTCTATGTAACTTGGCTCTATGTAACTTGGCTCTATGTAAATTGGCTCTATGTAACTTGGCTCTATGTAACTTGGCTCTATGTAACTTGGCTCTATGTAACTTGGCTCTATGTAACTCTATGTAACTTGGCTCTATGTAACTTGGCTCTATGTAACTTGGCTCTATGTAACTTGGCTCTATGTAACTTGGCTCTATGTAACTTGGCTCTATGTAACTTGGCTCTATGTAACTTGGCTCTATGTAACTTGGCTCTATGTAACTTGGCTCTATGTAACTTGGCTCTATGTAACTTGGCTCTATGTAACCTTGGCTCTATGTAACTTGGCTCTATGTAACTTGGCTCTATGTAACTTGGCTCTATGTAACTTGGCTCTATGTAACTTGGCTCTATGTAACTTGGCTTTGTGCAACTTGGCTCTGTGCAACTTGGCTCTGTGTAGCTTGTCCAAGGGCTCCGCACGGAAGAACCCTTCGCGATGCTTTCGGGAAAAAACAAACAAACAAACAGACAGACAACAAGAACAACAAAAACAACAACGACGCCAAGTACAACGACAACCACAACACCAACAACAACAAAAAGCACTACCACCACCAACCAACCAACCAACCAACCAACCAACCAACCAACCAACCAACCAACCAACCAACCAACCAACCAACCAACCAACCAACCAACCAACCAACCAACCAACCAACCAACCAACCAACCAACCAACAACAACAACCAACAACAACAACAACAACAACAACAACAACAACAACAACAACAACCACCACCACCACCACCACAACAACAACAACAACAACAACAACAACAACCAACAACAACAACCAACAACAACAACAACAACAACAACAACAACAACAACAACAACAACAACAACAACAACAACAACAACAACAACAACAACAACAACAACAACAACAACAGCAGCAGCAGCAGCAGCAACAACAACAACAACAGCAACAGCAGCAGCAACAGCAACAGCAACAGCAACAGCAACAGCAAACAGACAAACATACAATCCAACAAACAACTGAACAAACATTAAACAACACAAAAACTAACACCGCAAACACAAGCACAAAAACACACACACGCACACACACACACACTTTTCAGACACACACACACACAGACAAAGACAAAGGAACACACAGGCACACAACACTCGCACACAACATGCCAGCTCCACAACGAACAAGCGTGATGAATCAGACATACTTGTCACACTTGCCATGCCTGCCTTTGCATTTGCATCAGATCCTGTCCTGCCCGCGGCTTGATTCAACTAGCTCCGAACAGGCCCTCACTGGCTCGGTCCATTGGAAGTGCAGGTAGTCGCCGGCCTCAACTTTGAGGTCCTCGTGGGAATGTGACACTCGATTTGGATATAATGAAAATAAGTCATATTGAGTCGTATAGTCATGTGAGTCATATGAGTCATATTGAGTCATATAAGTCATATGAGTCATATGAGTCATGTGAGTCATATGAGTCATATGAGTCATATGAGTCGTATGAGTCTTATTGAGTCTTATTGAGTCATATTGAGTCATATCGAGTCATATTGAGTCATATGAGTCATATGCGTCATATGAGTCATATGAGTCATATGAGTCATATGAGTCATTTTGGGTCATGTCTCCCTCATTCATTGCTTGTCCTGCGGGACAAAGTCGTACTCCACGGACGGGTAGACCTACGCGACAACGGTCTTTGGTCTGACGGGCAAAATAGGGTGAGACAGCTGGGGGGAAGCATGATGGGCAAGGCGCCTGCACGATGTTGCCACGGCGGCCACGCACGTTATAGTTCACAATGCGGGCGTTGGAGGCTGAAGCTGGGCGTGTCCTACATAGTGTCAATGGATTTGTGCCTTTTCGCTCTTTGTTCTTGCTTGCTCACAATCTTGTTGTTGCTTTTGGATTCAGAATCGATGTGGCAAGGCTGGCTGCCAGTAACTGGCGCCGTCTGCATTGCAATCCTTGAGCTCCGCATCTGACACACTCCAAGAACCGAAGCAGTCGGGGTCAGAAGTCAATGGATTCACAAGTTTGCTCCGTCCTGATGTAGAAGCTGTGTGTCCTTAGCCAGGCACTCTTTGAAGGACTCTAGCCCGCTCCGCATTGCCTATCTTGGAAGGTTCTGCCGTACTGGTTGGTGTTCACCTGGAAGCATCACAAAGAAACTAGGCATGTCTCTCACGCGTGAGAACACAAGTTTCAATCAAAGGGCTTCTCAAAGTCTTCGAAGTCTTCGAAGTCTTCGAAGTCCTGCCTGGAGCTGCAGCCGGAAGTCCTCGCCCAGGTCCAGCCAGTCACCCACAGGGTCTTGGGCCAGCACCGGGGGCCCGCCCTCAAGCGGCAACAAGAAACGGAGAAAAGACGAGAGAAAAGTTGCACCATCAACCCCAAACAGTGAGAACCATACTCCATGCATCAGTTGCTCTCAGCAGAGAGAAAGAAAAGACACGGGGGTGACAAAAATGGAGAGAAAAAAGAGACGCGAAATCGGATCAAAAAAGATGGGCATGCCGGTTCGTTCTCCCACTCTACGAATTTCAAATCCGGCCCATCCTTGAAGACGGCTCGACGACGAGCGCCCGGGTTGGGATCATTCATGGCCTAAGTCGCACTGCATCACGCTCACATCGCGCGTGTCGGGCCTTGTCCAGGTTGAAGTAGTCATCCCCCACATCGAGCCTAGTGCCGCAGTGAGCTCATCCTCCCTTCCTCCCTTGCGTCCTTCCTCCCCTGTTCCCGCGCCTGTCGGTGGCCGGCCCGTCCAGGGTCGCCAACGCGCTGCTGCGGAAGTCACCCGTGGTGATGTTGTACCGCAGCCGCAACACGCACCGCCCCTCGATGTACTCAGGGATCCTCAACGAGAAAGACTGAGGTCCGTTCGGAAGGGAACAATTTCAACATCGGAAGGGAGAAGGACGGCATGTCGAGGCAAATGGCGAGAAATTAATTTTGGCTCTCCTCCACATGTAGTAGTTGGGCCTGCCCCCTCGCGCGTTACCATTGTGGTTGTCCCGTGAGGAGACTCCGGCCACCTCGGGCGGAAGCAAAATCGAAGCACTGAATGGCTTCACAGCTGGCTTTACCACAATGAATTCCACAAATTCCTGAGCACACGGTGAGATTCAGCACTGGCAAATGCAACGAGTGACAAAGGTGATGCGCGGCGAGCGCGGCGATGATAACACGCCGGAGCCATTACCAACCATTTGCGCATTTGCGCTGAAGCGAACAAATAATATGTGTCTCGAAATACTGCCGCATTGAAAGGGCGTGATTGAGTGGTGGCAGCTTTTTGGCAGCGCAAAACAAAGAAACAACAGAACAATCCTAGATGAACCGCGTTTTTTTTGGAACATAACGACCTAGCAGCGCGATTGCAATCCCATCAATCACACGCCCGCCCGAGGATCTGAGGCTCGATTTTGACATTTGAGCGGCTTGAGTTGCAACGGTTCGTAACGCTTTCAGAGTTGCCTTGAAAGACAGGCATAGCCGCATAGCTGCTTCCCAACCCGGCGTTTGAACCCTCTCGTTTCGGTCAAATTGGCTGCGTCCGGCCTTCCCCCGCCACAAGAACCGTTCAACATCACAACGCTTGACAAAAAACACCGCGTCATGTGACTGAAATTTACACTTTCGAAAGAAAGCGTACAGTCCGTCGACCCCCTTCTCCCCAAAGGGGGCGCATGGGAACGCCTGAAAAGCAAGCCCTAAAGAAACATGTCAGCAAGCGCAGACGTCGGACACAGGCTCTAAAAGCACCCCTGAACAAACCCCAAACCGACCCGCAGAAGGCAGGAGACTTGGGGGCCTTGTGAAGGGGAGTTCGACCTCCCAATGAGCAAGTGGCACAGTCAGGAGGATCTTCTCCATGTGCCTCTCTCTCCTTCGACAAAGCGCGTCTCCCCTCTCCTTTCATCTTGATTCGGTCTGTTGATTCTTCCCCTCTCCTTCCATTCTGCGCCAGCATCTTGACATGCCTCTGGATTGTTGTGCTCCGGCTCGGAGCAAAAGCCTGCGAACGCGTCACTGAAACATGTGGCCTATGTGGCCATGGTGCCAGATGTGCCAATCCAACGGTGCCTTTGGCACGGACATTCTGTGACTCGCTTTGGTAGTACTCACATCTTCTGGGCCTGGGCGCCATCCTGATGGCTGGCCCAGTGTGGTTGAGGCCAGGACGACTCATCGGTAATCACGGCGATATCATGCCACGGGGTTGGGTGCCAGTAAGGGTAGTAGTCTCTTTCCTGACTCACGGTGTCACAGCGCTCACAGCTGTGCAGCGCTAGGCAGCGCTAGGCAAGGCTAGGCAGCGCTAGGCAGAGCTAGGCAGTGCTATGCGCTACGTGTCAGGTGTCAGGTCCTCGGGGCACTCCAGTCCGTGCCTGTTGTTGGCCTTGGCCATCCGGCCATGCACAACTGACTGACGGGTGGGTGCCGTGGGTGCCGTGGGTGCCGGGTGCCGAGCCGCGTTGCCCTGCGGGTTCTGCCTGCACTCGCCGATCGCCGATGGCACGCCCGGCGATGCGCCGATCGCCGTCGCCTGGTGGCCGTGGCGCCACGGTCGTCGCGGACATTTTGGTCGGCGGTGTAGAGACCTTTCTGGCGCTCCCGCCTAGCGATTGGCGTATCCGTATTGGCATTCCGTCAATTTCAATGTCTTTCAATTTCTTTCAATCCTTTCACTTATTTCAATTGGATTCTCTCCGAGGCGCTGCTTGCAATCCAAGTAGAAGTCCAAAGGCTCGTGCTGGCCCAGCGCAGTTTCAGCCGCTTCCACTGCTGTCGGCGGCTCCTGGCCACTTTGAAAGGGATGGGGAAAACATGAGAACAGCAGTAAACATCTTGCTCCAACGTGAGTCACACTCTCAGTCCACTCAGACTTCACGTGTGTCTCAGCTTTTCTCACTGGGTCTCCATTCCGGTCATTCTGGTCGTCTCTCAGCTCCTGTTCCCCGCCGGCCGTGTTGTCATTGCCCCGCTTGGTGCCGTCCCGCAGCCCCGGGTTGTCCTTCTCGCACATGTACTGCAACACCTACGAAACCACGAAAAACGGGAAAAAAAGGAAGAAAAAAAAAGGCCAAGGGAAGCTGTACCAAGATCAAGGGGTCGAAAAGAAAGTCGGGAGAACACACTCCAACTTCTGGAAAGAGAATGTGAGTGACACAAAGTGAAACGCAAAGTGTGCAACACTTTGAGTGTGAAACGCAATGAGGCGGCTGGCCATCTGGCACATGACGTTGGGCTGGTTCACACCGCAGCCATGCTGGGCGGCCTGCACGTCGCGCATCGAACGAGTCATGCTCCGATTCCGATCGCCGGACCCACTCGATGTAGAGCTCAGATCCCTGGTAGAAGGTCATAGCACCCTGAGAGCATGCATGCGGCCTTGCAACCGACACAGCAACCACGGCCTTCATGGCGCCCTCTTTGGTTTGATCATAATTCCGATTCTCATCCTGCGACGGAAATGTTGCCCATTTGCCCGAACCTTCAAAACTTCAGTGTCCTGACAGACGGGATTACAGTCATCGCCAATCTGGTATCCACCTGACGAGCTTGCGGGCCGACTCTCACGGAAGGTGCCCGAGACCTTGCGCGTTGTTCTGCGAGTCAAAGAGTCTGTTCCTCACTCAGGTGTCAAACTGTCACCCATGCTCAGGTACTCAGGCACTCAACTCATGAATGCCACAAAACACACATTGAAGACATGCCAAAAGGTTCTGGTTCTGCGCGTTGTTCTGCTGCTCACTCAACCTGGGAAAATACAATCGAGCAAGGTTCCATGCCTTTGGAACTTGGAAGATGACATCAGCAAATCGTGTCTGTGAATCCGGTTCGAATGACATCTGACTTCATACAGCTCTTCTGCTTTCTGCTTTGCTTGTGGCTTTTGCTTGGCAGCAAACTTGTTGTTGGAGCCACGGGGGTTGTGCAGGTACACGTCTCCCAGCACGCCCACGTGGAGCAGGTGCAACCATACCTCGAGCCGGGCCGCACTGTTGAGGGAGGGGCGCGAGGCAAAAAGGGAAAGAAGGAAATAAGATAAGAAGAAAAAAATAATTAAGAAGAAGAAAACAGGCAAGAGGAAAAGAAGGAAACAAGCAAAGAAGGAATGAAAAAGAATGAAAAAGAAGAAAAAAAGAAAAACAGAAAAAAAAAACAAAGAAGAACAAAATGAAAACGAAGAAAAGAAGAAACAAGGAAAGAAGGAAAGAAGCAAAGAAGAAAAAAGTAATGAAAAAGAAGAAAAGAACAAGGAAAGAAGGAAAGAAGCAAGGAAGCAAAGAAGAAAAAAAGAATGAAACAGAAGAAAAGAAGAAAGAAGGGAAAGAAGGGAAAGAAGCAAAGAAGCAAAGAAGAATAGAATGAAAAAGAAGAAAAGAAGAAACAAGGAAAGAAGGAAAGAAGGAAAGAAGCAAAACAGCAAAGAAGCAAAGAAGAAACAAAAATGAAAAAGAAGAAAAGGAGAAAAAAGTAAAGAAGGAAAGAAGCAAAGAAGCAAAGAATAAAAAAAAAAAAGAAGAAAAGGAGAAAGAAGGAAAGAAGGAAAGAAGGAATGAAAAAGAAGAAAAGAAGAAACAACAAAAAAAGAAGAAAAAAAGAATGACAAGAAGAAAAGGAGAAAGAAGGAAAGAAGGAAAGAAGGAAAGAAGGAAAGAAGCAAAGAAGCAAAGAAGCAAAGAAGCAAAGAAGCAAAGAAGCAAAGAAGCAAAGAAGCAAAGAAGCAAAGAAGCAAAGAAGCAAAGAAGAAAAAAAGGAAAAAAAGGAGAGAAAAAAAGAGAAGGAGAAAGAAGGAAAGAAGGAAAGAAGTAAAGAAGCAAAGAAGCAAAGAAGCAAAGAAGCAAAGAAGCAAAGAAGCAAAGAAGAAAAAAAGAATGAGAAAGAAGAAAAGGAGTAAGCAGTAATCAAGCAAAGAAGCAAAGAAGCAAAGAAGCAAAGAAGCAAAGACGCAAAGAAGCAAAGAAGCAAAGAAGAAAACAAAGAATGAAAAAGACAAAAAATGAAACAAGGAAAGAAGGAAAGAAGCAAAGAAGGAAAGATGGAAAGAAGGAAAGAAGCAAAGAAGCAAAGAAGCAAAGAAGCAAAGAAGCAAAGAAGCAAAGAAGCAAAGAAGCAAAGAAGCAAAGAAGCAAAGAAGCAAAGAAGACAAAAATGAAAAGATTAAAGAAGAAAAAAGGAATGAAAAAGAACAAAAGAAAGAAAGAAGGAAAGAAGGAAAAAAGGAAAGAAGCAAATACGCAAAGAAGACAAAAAAGGAAAGAAGAAAGAAGGAAAATAATGAAGAAAAAGAAGAAAAGAAGAAAGAAGGAAAGAAGGAAAGAAGGAAAGAAGCAAAGAAGCAAAGAAGAAAAAAGATTGAAAAAGAAGAAAAGAAGCAAGAAGGAAACAAGGAAAGAAGCAAGGAAGCAAAGAAGAAAAAAGTACTGAAACAGAAGAAAAGAACAAGAAGGAAAGAAGGAAAAAAGCAAGGAAGAACCAAAAAAAAGTAATGAAAAGGAAGAAAAGAAGAAAGAAGGGAAGAAGGAAGGAAGTAAAGAAGCAAAGAAGAAAAACAGAATGAAAGAGGAGAATGAAAAAAAGAAAAGTGGACCAAGCGGGCAGGTGGAGCAAGCGGACAGGGAGGTGTCCCCAAGTGGCGAAGTGGCCACCGCTCCAAATGGACAGGTGGACAAGCGGGCCATGCGGCGAACAAGCCTGATCTCTTATGCGACTGGTCCGGCAGTGTGTTTAATGGAGGGTCGGACAAGCGAATGCATAGTGGAACGGCCCAACCCTTAGCTCAGCAGGCGCGCAATGTCCGTTGTTCAATTTGGTCTGGATAAAGAAAAAGTGCTCCCAGATAGCAGAAGGCCTTACCGTAGCTGTCTGCAAAGCCGGTGACAGCTGTTTGCGAATCTCAAGTGAATGGACGAGTGACACACGTGAGCGAACTTGTTTCCTAGCGCGACATGGAAACTATGTGGGTTGAGCTGGGTGCGCGCTCGCCTGCGCCAGCCAAGGCGGCAAATCGCAGCCGGATCGGCCAGCGAGCAACTGCTCACACGGTTCATCCTTCTGAACAACTCGAGCACAATCATGGAAGTATCTCTGGGTCAATCATGTGTCTCGCTCGCAATATGTGAACCCTTTGAGTGGACCAAGCGGCCATCAGGGGCCAGGTAAAGACAGGCTCTTCACCTGTTCACGACCTGCTACTTTCGCCTACCCGACCGCTACTTGAACACTGGTACTTTGCCCGGCAGACATCGCCCACCCGTTGCGGGGGGCGCTGGCTATTGCACCTTTCTAGTAGTCTGATTGCTTGAAAAATTCCTACAACGAATGGATAGAGCGAAACATACTGATAGAGAGAGAGAGAAAAGAGAGAGAAAAGAAAGAGAAAAAGAGAAAGATTGAACAAATTAAAAGATAAGAGAGAAAGAAGAAGAAAGAGAGAGAGAGAGAGAGAAAAAAAAAAGCGAGAAAGAAAGAGAAAGAAAACAAAAGAAAGAGAAAGAGAGAGAGAGAGAGAAAGAGAGACAGAGAGAAAGAGAGAGAGAGAAAGAGAAAGAGAGAGAGAGAGAGAAAGAAAGAAACAAAGAAAGAAAGAAAAAAAGAAAGAAAGAAAGGTTGAAAGAAATAAAGAAAGAAAGAAAGAAAGAAAGAAAGAGAGAAAGAAAGAAAGAAAGAAAGAAAGAAAGAAAGAAAGAGGGAGTTGTTCTGTTCTTAGTCCGACAGACATCGCCAACCCTTGCGCCGCTTGGCCACTCGGGCTACGTGCTCTGCTAACAAGGGAACCAAGCGGTCAAGTGGGCCAAGTGGACGCAAGTGGCCTTCAGCGGTTAACGTCCTCGTTTGCGAAAGCAAGGGAAAGAAGGAAAGAGAGAGCAAGAGAGAGCTGGGCTACAGATTGAAAGAGATATTGCAACGTAGATATGGGAGAGCGAGATAGTAAGATAGTAAGATGTTTCCAGATCGAGATAGTAAGATAGGTTGGGAGACAGACGAGAATAGTAAGGTGTTCCGTCTAACCAACGGAGCCGGGTTGCTCCTTTCTGTTTTGGCCTCTTGGCCTTTGCCGCGCCGCCTTGGCGGTTGTTTCTGTCTTGGCCTCTTGGCCTTCGCCGTGCCGCCTTGTGGTGTGGAGGGTGGTTGTTTTTGTTTGGGCCTCTTGACCTTCGCCGCGCCGCCTTGTGGTGCGCTGGGGTTGGTGGCCGTCTTGATCGACATTCTCGCCGCCCTGTGTTTGACGGCGGTACCCAGCGAAGATGGTGCCAGGAGGCAGATCAACCACGTAGTTAATATAACAGGGCAGTTGAGGTTCGACTCCCGTGGGGTGACCAATACCCTCGACAGCAAGTCGTATACTAGTGGTCGTGGTAAAAGGGGGTTGTAAGGTAAATGATCTGCGTCGTCTCACAACTCAATGCGACAGCGGAATACGCGCCCTTTTGCTTTCTTTCACAGCAGTGTTTGGATGTTCGCATCGATTCTATTATCAAGGTCTTATGCCAGTTAACTCACTTGAGCTAGTGGACTTGAGCCAAATGCATTCGCATGTACATGTCGGCTGCGCACAAAACACACATTCTCCCTAAAAGGTTTGAGACCTTAAACAAGGGGAAGTAACAGGGTGACCCTCAGAACCTGCCCCTAGGATGTTTTAGCCTTGCGGCTCGGAGATTCTTAGCATCCCCATCCCGGGCTTGGGTTCATCCCTGGGTCGGGAATCAATCTCAACCGCACGCCGACACACATGGACGCATGGCTTCACTCATTTTCAATTCAAACGTCTCTGCACGAGTTTGACCAGGTGCTGAAACTAAACTAAACAGGAAACAAGAATGCTACAGGTCTCTTACCGGACCTCATGCGCAGTATCGCACATGCAGCAAGCTATCCATAAGGTAATTGTACAGATCCATGGCTGTCTGCAGAAAACGAATATCCATGACGAGCACATAGTGCATCACCAATCTGTAACTAATAATGATTGTAGCACCGAATAATCGTTGACCACCAAATACCCGGCATCCCCAGAATAGCAGTCGCCGATGACGATACTGTACGGAAACAAGAAAACATTCCATGGTGACAAATGCAAGTCTCGTGCAAATACTTTCGGTTTGCCCAGTGTACCACGCACGACGAGTACCACAAGGGCTGGCCATGATACCACTCACAATGAGCATCAGGATCCCATTGTCTATAACTGCAAATTCCAGTTGATCCCCCACGTAGGAGAAATCGTGAAGAAAATGCATGATCACCAGTGTGATCCTTCTGCGATGGCCCTTCTACTCGCTCTCCGCCGGAACCTTTCTAACACAGAATCTGGTGTCTCCTCGGTCCGATTGATCTTCTCGATAAATCGCGAAGG